TATTATTATTATTATTATTATTATTATTATTATTATTATTATTATTACACTCTGATGCTAAGGAGTTCTACTCTCCCTCCCCTCCTGAAAAGAAATCTCTTCCAAATGCAAAACACAAGCGGAGGAGAGGAGTTTCACTTCCAGTTTCACAGCCCCAAGCAGGTTTAGGGCAGAACAGTTGAGCTAAGCCACGCCCAGGCTCCTCGCTGTCTCCTCCTTGCTCACACAGCAAACGCTGCTTCAGTTTCCAAGCAGCCCTCAACTCTCTCACACACTGACCAGGACGCTAGCCAGAGGAATACCGATGGATGCTGGTTGGCAGAGGCAGAAATTCACACCCACCCCCCTTATTTTCCTCCCCCCAAAAACTAAGCCCAGCCACATAGTTTCGTAGCGAAGCACCGGGATCCGGCTACTTAGAAATAAGGAGAAAGTTCCTGATGAATTCATCCGTGGTACGACTCCCCTTCAGAAATGATGAATGCTCCGTCACTGGAGTTGTTTTTTTTTTTTTTAAAGAAGAGACTGGACAACCATCTGTCTGGAATGGTACAGGGCCTGCAGGTCGAGCCGGGGTGGGTGGGTCAGACTGGATGACCTCCCAGGTCCCTTCCAACTCGGTCATCCTCTGCTTCTGCTCAGACAACACAAAGGAAAGGAGACAAAAGGGCTCCCTTCCAGCCAGACGCACGTCCTCTCCCTTGAATGTAGAGAATGTGCTGCCGTCAGCGCATCGGTTTTTGTTTAGTGTGCAAGCGTGTGCACAAAAACCCCCCGGCTGTAGCGAACTGCCTTTTCTCGTGCGGGAGACCGGCAAATTCTTCACCGATCTCAACCCTGTCTATTTTTATTTTTTATTTTTTAAACTTAAAAAAAGAAAAGAAAACGAAAGCCGTCTTCACGGTTTTTCCAGGCAAATACCCACAAAATAGGACGGGGCTGTTCACGGAGACGACCGCGCGTGTTTCCTTGAATCAGAATTCTCACTGACAAGCGAGCTGCTGGTTAAGTGAGTCCTGTCCGGTTTTACGACCTTTCACGTTGCGGTCGGTCGTTATGCCAGTTGTTAAATTGTTATGGGGCCCACGGGAACACAAGGCTTGTGTCGCTTGCATTGCGAACAACACGAGGTAGTGAGGGGAGGGGGGAAAGGGAGGAGGGGGGGACTTGCTCGATTCGCCCCACGCGCCTGGCTAGGCCACCGGGCTGCTTCTTTCCGCTTCTTCCTTCTTCTGCTTTTGGCTGCACGCAAGGAAAGAAGCAGAAGCCGCAAAAGTCTTTCTTTCTCTCCCCCAAACTCCGCCAGAAATGGGTCTTTGGGACCCTGCAAGGCCTCCTGCTCCAAGAGGCTCCTTTCTGGAGGAGTTTGGGGGAGAGAAAGAAAGACTTCTGCGGCTTTCCTTGCAACTCCCAGCACTGTGGATTTCAACTCTCAGAATTGTGGACTTCAACTCCCAGAATTGTGAATTTCAACTCTCAGAATTGTGGATTTCAACTCCAAGAATTGTGAATTTCAACTCTCAGAATTGTGGATCTCAACTCCCAGAATTATGGACTTTAACTCCTAGAATTGTGGATTTCAAATCCTAGAATTGTGAATTTCAACTCTCAGAATTGTGGATTTCAACTCCCAGAATTGTGAATTTCAAATCTCAGAATTGTGGATCTCAACTCCCAGAATTATGGACTTTAACTCCCAGAATTGTGAATTTCAACTCTCAGAATTGTGGATTTCAACCCCTGGAATTCTGGGTGTTGAAGTGCACAAATCTTCCAGATGCTAAGCTTGGGATACCCTTGTACTAACTGAAGAGGCCTCCTTGCCCTCTTTGGCCACGATCTGAAGATGGTGGAGGAGACACGACCCCCCCCCCCCCCCCCCCCCCCCCCTTTCAAGATGGTCCCAGGAAAAGGACTCTGCAGCCTTGGCCCTTGCGAGGGCCAACTAGAGAGACGAGTTACAACCTGAGAACGAGCTGGATCCGTGGGCCCCTGTCCTCACCTTCTCCCCCAAGGGACAGTAGCCCTTCAGGAAGTCCGAGCAGACCTCTGCCTTCCTGGACACGTAGACGTGGCTGTACGGGCAGTCGCTGTTACTGCAGATCCCCTTCAGGAAGTAGGAACAGACGGGCATCTGACAGGGGGAAAGCAAAGAGAGGAAAGGATTGAGGGAGGACCTCCTGCAAGTCAGAAAACCAACCAACCAACCCCCCCCCCCCAAAAAAAACAACCCCCATCCCCTCCACTTCATGGGAACGTGAAAGTACCCCTCTACGCTGCGCTGGTGAGGCCATAGTTGCAATTCTGCATGGAGGGCAACACAGATAATGAATGGGGTGAGGGGATAAAACTTAGGAAGAGCAAAGTATCGAGGGAGCTTCTCCGTCCTCCAGGTGATGGTCTTTTAATCAAGAGGCAACGGGACTTTCTGGTTTTGCTCTGAAGATGTTTCGTTCCTCTTCCAAGAAGCTTCTTCAGCTCTAAGCGGATGGTGGGGAAATGGAAGGATTGAGACTCCTTGCAGGCAGAGCTGGTCATTTGCATCCTTTTAGAGGGTCGTTGAGGCCACTTGGAGGTTTGTCTGTGTCCTCAGGGTCACTTAAGTGGTGCAAATGGGTGTGGGGAGCCTTCTTGGAACTGCTGAAAAGACTGTGTTGTAGACCGGAGATAGATGTCGCGTCCTCTCCCGCTCTGTTGAGAGATCTGGACATAGATGACCACTGGGACCCTTCCTTCAAACCAGGGTTTCTCTCTGTCCAAAACGTGGATTTTGCTGTTTTTGAAAGAGGGGTCTTTTGTCCTTTAAATGCAGGTGGACTTATGAAGAGCGGTTGCGGGAATTGGACACGTTTAGGCTAGTGAAAAGAAGGACTAGAGGGTGATATGAACGGTCAGTTTTGCCCCGTTTTACAAATTCTCTTGCTACATTTCTTAAGGGAATCGCTCCGGTTGTCCCAAATGTGCTTTTCCAAGAGGCAAGTGGACTTTTTTCCTTGAAGAGATTTCCCTTCTCATCCCAGAAGCTTCTTCAGCTCTGATTGGATGGAGGGGAATGGAAGGATTGATACTCCTTGCAGGCAGAGCTGGTCATTTGCTTCCTTTTAGAGAGCCGTTGAGGCCGCCTGGAGGTATCTCCATAGACAATCAGCCCGCTTGTTAAACGAGTCACATGGTGGAGTGAATGTGGATTCTCCAGTGACGGAAGGTCGCAAAAGGGGATCACGTGAGGGTGGGGCTGGAGCCACCGCGGAACGACGGCTTTCTCTGAGCTCCAGAGAAAGCCGCCGATACCGCCGCAGCCAGATGGTCTAAGTGGACCCGAACTGTCCTGGAGAGACGGTAAGTGAATCCTGTCAATCCCAGGGACATCGCAAAGACCCTGGTTGACCCAGGAAGCTCCTGTAGCAGAGGGAAGCAGTCATTAAGCCGCTAAGAAGCTGTGACAGCAGCCCGGAACGGACGAAGATCAGAAGAAGAAGAAGGTGTGTCAGTTTGGGTTAGAAATTTCTTTTTTTATTTTTAAAAAAGTAAAGATAGAAGAGTACCCTAAGGGAAAAGAATTCTTCAAGGAAAAAGCCAAGCATCTAAACATTGATCACAGGGCTGTAGGGATGCTGCAACTGTCGTTAAGTATGAAAAACCATCGCAAGTCCCTTCTTCTTCAGTGCCGTTGTTAAAACTTCGGTCGCTAAGCGAACCGCTCAGGGGGTGGGATTCAACCGGCGATGCTACCGGTAAGCGGCCCGTGAGTATAAAGAAACTTTAAGCTGTGCTGCTGCCCGGAGAGCGGAAAAGCGCAGCGCAAGGGGCGCAGCGTTTGAAAAAGCACTTTCCCCCCTGCTTTTTAAACCTCAGCTGTGCCGCGCAAAGCAGCTGAGGTGACAAAGCAAGAAATACAGGGCAGGTAAGAGCCCGGGCGGGCAGGTGGGCCAAAACAGCAGCAAACACAGAAGCGGTTGGGTGTCTGTTGCTCTTCAGAGGTACCGGTTCTGTACAACCGGGCCGAACCGATAACATCCCACCTGTCATGCCTCTGTTGGAGACTGACTCTGAGGGAGAGGAGGAACAGCCTACAGGGAGTAGGAATGTGGCTCCGGAGGTTGTGGAGGAGGCTGGCGAAGGGCAGAGGCCGGCTGGGCAGTCAGGGGAGGACCCAGGCCCATCCCCTCTCCATCCTAGGGCACGCAAGGAGGAGCGGATAAGGGAGAAACGTGAGTGGTGTGGTCTACGGGGAAGGAAAGGGCCCTGATCCCCTTCATGGGCTGCAG